GGACCAGATAGGGTTTGAGTCTTGCTTGTGTCACTGCTTGCATGATGGTGAACCTCTCTGAGCTTCACTTTCATGACCTGTAAGGAAAGAGCAAGACTATATCTAGCCTGTGGGATTGTACAATGATAAGAAGAGGTCATGTATGTAACGAGCTTGGCTGAGGGTTTTGCATTTCCCGGGTGCGCAGTCAGTGATGGCCGTTGCTGCCTCATCCCCACCCCAGTAGAGATCATTTATTGTAAGTAATCCAGTACTCACGTGACTGCCCTCAGCCTCTCTGGACTTGACAGTGCTAACCTTGCAGGTGTTAGAGATGGGCTATATCAAGTTTGTGGCACGCAGTAGGACCCAGCATTTGATAACAATAACCAAGCATTGGCCACAGATACTGAATGAGCCAGAACTGTGCCTGCCATGTAGGGCGATGGGAGGTGAGTGGGTGTGGCCTGTGCCAGGACTGCAGACCAGCTCAGGTTGAGCTGGGGCCGTTGAGCACCACTTGCTCAGGTAGAAGGAAGAGGGAAGGATTCTCCAGGCAGGAATGAGCAGAGTGAGGAGACCTGGCTGGCATAGAATACCTTCCCTTTCTTCTTCGTCTGGTTTGTCAGTCCTTGAATCTTCACAGGGGAGTTTGCCAAGAACCATTCTGCTGAGGCAAGAGGCCCCTCAGCTGGGCAGACTGGTGGTTCATTTATCTTCGGCCCTGCTCTTCTCTAGGGGAGGGCAGCAGTGGGGATTGCCTCTGCCAGGCCCTCTATTGTTCATCTAGAGCAGAGCATGAAAGGTGGCCAGATACCTTTCCCCCTCCCAGGGGGACTGACCTATTTAACTCTGGGGAAGAGCAGAAACTGACTCCTGTCTTCCTTCTCTCCAGCCATTTTCTCCCTCAAATGCTAGGAGCGAATTCAAGCGAGCGAACCTGTCTTAGGGCTCCCTAGAGACTCCGAGTCGCTTTCTCTTCACCCTTTTGTGCAAGTCTGTGGACTGTGTCCAGGGTGGGTCCTGGCTTTGGAGCTCACTGTCCTCCTGAGGCTGAAGGTCAATGCTCTGGACTCGGCGTCTGTCAACACGGGCTGAGCTGGGCTCCCCAGGCAGGGCTTCTGCCACTGACCTGGCTCGGACCAGACTCTCCAAGAATGTCAGTGGCCTGGCCCTGGTTCTCGCTGCTTGTCTGGTTGTTTAGGTGAAGTGAATGGGCAGGGATCCTCCAGTGGGATTACAACAGAGGGGCTGTATCCAACAATAGGACCAAGGTCCAACCAAGTCGCTACATGTTGTCATCCCTCTGCCCACCCGCGTCTTCGAATGAGTTTTAATGTGTGTGTTTAGCATTAAGATAGAGGGGAATGCTATTCCTTATTTCCTGGTGAGATAAGAGTTTGGGATCAGAATAAAATGATAATCAGTGCACAATTGTTTAGTAAGATGTTACCTTCCAAGTTCTTGTGAAAAAAAGGGACGAGAGAGAAATATCCTGGTCTGAGATGTGTTCTCTTCCCACTTGTAGTGGAAATAAATATCTGCTCAAAGCAGACAGAGAGCATTGCTGTGATCTGCTGAAAATAAGGGCACATAACCCCTGCAAATAGAAGGCTTAGCCCCTAATGCAGTTAGGGATTGCATTTGGTTGCTAGTCATAGAACTACCCGATTCAGAATGGTGCACTCAAATTGGGCGTTAGTTTTCTCACAGAACAGAAATCCAGGCCGGTACACCAGCTCCATGATGCCATCAGGGGCCTGGCTCTTGCTTTCTACCCAGGTTTCAGCAGATGGCTTTCATTCACATTGTTGTCACCTTGCTCTCCAGCACAGAGGCTACATTCCAGGCAGGAGGAAGGGAAGGGTAGCTAAACCAGCTACGGTGCTTCTTTTAAAGATGTTAAGATTTCTGCGTACATCTTCTTGGCTGGATCTGTGTTAGTTACATGATCACCCTCAGTTCCAAGGGAGGTTGGGAAGTGTATTTTTTTTTGCTGGGTACATTGCTGCTTTGAAAAATAAATGGGGTAAGGCAGGAGGGGAGAATAGATGTTGGGAGGCAACCCATTTGCATGTGAAGGCACACTGTGTGCCAGACATGCACTGTGCTTATTCTATGCATTGTCCCCTTGAATCCTCGCAACAACCCAGGAAGGCAGGGGCTGATGTGCCCGTTTTGCATAGGAGGAACCTGAAACCAGAGAGGTCAGGGACTTGCCCAGGGGCACCCAGTGTATACTGGGGTGAAGCCAGCACTTGAGTCCAGGCCTGACTAGCTCAAAATCCTATGCCCTCTGGGTTTGTTGTGCTCGGGAAGTGATATGTATGGTCCAAATGGTCACCAAATGTCAGAAGTTCCCCATGTTTTGAACAATATCTGACTCCAGGTGCTTACAGTGATCACAGTGGCCTGCACAGGAAAGGCAGTGTCATCTTAGCTACACGTCTGTGCCCGACATGGCAAGCATCTGAGTGACACAATCATTGACAGCCAAGGGTGCTTCATTTTTCCCATCACTGTGCTCCATTGAGCATGGCAAATCTATTTTGTGACAGGTCTCCTGATTTGAGAAGTCATGTGTTAAATTGTTAGGAATATAAGGAGACAGGGAGAAAGCCAAAAAACATTTTTTCCTTCAAGCCTATAACTTAGTAAAGTCAATGTTGAAGTTGGGTAAGGTGGGGGAGAGGGAGCTTTACCTCCCCTTTCTTACCTGTAGCTATAGGTTACACATTTTGGGCACAAAGGCGTTTTCTCTATGGCCCAGCAGCCCTGGGACTAGGAGTTGTTCATAACTGCAAGTCTTAGGGCCTGGAATGCTGCCAGACTACCATTCTTTTAGCTGCTCTCTAAAGCTTTGTTTTGTAGTAAATGTTGGTGTAAATCTGAAGAAAAGGATTTGTCATTCCTTATCAAATTTATCTTCAGAAAGGACTGACATATACAAGGGTGTGTACCTCATGTGTTCCTGTACAGTAGGTCTAAGATTGACAGTTATAAGTTAGAAAAGCCTGGCACACTCCACAATTTGAAGTCATTTTATGGGAACAGTTTATTCGATGGGGTGTTAGGATCGTCTGGCTTTGATGGCAGAAGCAGTTTTCGGTACTGCTTTCTCATGCACCCAGGTGCCCACCCAGTGGGTGTATGAGAGCTCAGTAAATGCAAGGTCCTTGACCAGGAAAGTTCATGTTGCAGTTGGTTGCCCTCAGACACTGTACCACAGTCCTTGGGTCCTGTAGTTGAGGAAACCCTTTTCCCTTCAGTTCTTATGTCATTCATGTAGGTGGTATATTTGCTTCCCAATGTAGCTTGTATGACAAAGTGCAGTTTATCTTTGAGGTACACTTACTTACTGGTAGGCCTCATGATTGGAGTAACCAGGTGAGAAAGCTCCTTGGCCGGGGCATGGCCCAGAGTGCGGCCAGAGTTTAATCTTAAGGCAGCAGCCTTAGCACATCCTCCTTGGACGGTTTCTCAAATTTGAGGAATAGCAAAGAAGATAAAGGCCAACTTAAGCAACGTGAAGGCTACTGGTTGGGGTTACACTGATGCGGTTATGGAGGATTAAAGGAAGAAAGGAAAGATGAAATCAAAACCTAGAATGTGTACATTGAGGAACAGAGATGTCACTTCATAAATTTACTGTAAGAATTGCTTTTTCTAAAAGTGTAGAACCTGAATAGTTCCTATATGTTCCTACTGCTGGAGGTTTTAGGAATGGAAAGGCCCTCAGAGATCATCATCTAAAGATCCATCTAATAAAGAGGGAATATGCTAATTGACCCTCATGCTGTTGCAAAGATGGCGGCGCCCACAGCCAATAAGGAGAAATATGCTAAGTGAATGCCATGCCCTCAAAGATGACGGCGCCCAGTCCCCTCAGCTCCCCAGCCACCCAGGGCCGCCCAAGGCTCAGGTAACCAGGGCCGGCCAAGGCTTATGCTGCTGGCAGTGGCAACAGCAGAAGTGTGATGGGGTGTCGCCTCCCCCTGATGGCCAGTCGCCTCCCACCCCTGAGGGCTCCTGGACTGTGAGAGGGGACAGGCCGGGCTGAGGGACCCCTCCCCCCCAAACCCAGTGCATGAATTTTCATGCACTGGGCCTCTAGTATCATTATTAAATGATATAATAGGATTCCTTCCACTGTAAGTAACAGAGACCAAACTCAAACTAGCTTAATGAGAAAGAGAAGTTATTGGTTCACAAACAAAAAGTCCAAATATTTATCTGGGTTAGGTGTGGCTAAATCTAGGATGTAAATGCAGCGGCATTCCCATTGTACGCTTTCATGTTGAAATGAGAGATGTCTGGCTTGGCTGTTGGAAGAGTGATGGATCTCAAGGCCAGGACTTTTCACCATGGGGCACAAGTAGACTAGCTGCCCCATCCAAGGGTCTCTGGTAATTTTCCTGGTCCTTCTGGGATGGAGTGTGTTCCCTTCCCTGCCTCCCCAGTCTAAATGCTGCAAAGCTTGTGGAGCCACTGCTGTGTCCCTGGTACCAGAGAGTGGGAATGTTCCTTATGCTGCCATTGCTCTTGGGGCTGTGCTGGCAGCCAGTGGGCTCCCGAGCCTTTCTGTCCAAGGTGGACAGCCTTGGGCAGATGGCAATATGGAACGGTGTGAGACTATCACTGTATCATTTACTCATTCAACGCGCCTGGTCTGTCACAGTCTCTGCACACGAGTTCTGGACATATGATGCTTGGCAAGATGGGCCTCTCACCATGTCTACTTGGGCCAGTTGGTCCAGTGTGACCATGGTGTTGGTTAAGGTTCTGATCTAGACTGGGTACATGTGGCCGGGGTGGCTTCCAGGAGATGGTAACATGTTAGATCTCAAAGGAGTAGAAGCTCAAGTGGGTGGAGTGAGGGGCTGGGAATACAGGTGGTCCAGGCAGAGGGAACAGCCCGTGCAAAGGTCTGGAGGTAGTTTGAGTGCCAAGGGTGTGCTTTGAGGAGATTGGCTGCCGGCGGTGCTGTCTGGATCGGGCTGAATGTACTTCTGTTGTTGCAGGGACCTGGAGAAGCTGGAGCGGCAGGCAGTCCCCCAGGTCAACCACGCGGAGTCCTGTCGTGAGTGTGGCCGCGTGGGACCCGGACATGCGAGGGATTGTCCTCATCGCCGCCATGAGGACTCCTATGGCTACGAGAGGCGGGAGCAAGAGGAAGAACGGTACCGTTCCCACCCATCCGAGGGCAGGAGGGACAGGAGCAAGACCAGGTCTCCGTACTCGCCAGCTGAGGAGGATGCCTTGTTTGTGGACTTACCCAGTGGCCTGAGAGGCCAGCAGGCACAGCCCCAGAGGGCAGAGAAGAATGGCATCGCATACGGCCCAGCAGAGCAGAATGGGACGGGCGGATACCCGCGGGCCTTTCCTCCCAGGACCAACCATGAAAAGCACAGCCAGAGGAAGAGCAGCCTGGCCCAGGTGGAGCACTGGGCAAAGTCCCAGAAGGGGGATGGCAGGAGGTCAGTAATAGATCTGAATCACTGCTACCTGTGAGCAAAAGAACACAATAACAGTCGCTGTCATTTACCCAGCATGCACTGGGTAATGCTGGCCTTAAACTCTCTACCTCCATTATCTCAAAAAATCCCATAACAGCTCTGCAAGGAGGGGGAATAGTCCCAATTTATCGATGAAGAGAATGAGGCTGGGAGGAGGGAAGGAACCTGCCCAGGGCGCACAGATAAGTGGCAAAGCCAGAGTTCAAATCGGGGCCTGCAGGCCTCCCGAGCCACACGAGATAGCATGAGGAGGCTTCTTTGTTCCCCGGGGAGCGCACTTTGAGACAGTCAGCCTGTAGACAGCAACTCCTCTTCTCCTTTTACCTGCTCCTTCTCTGCATCCGGGAAGTAGTTATAGAAACTAGAGTAAGTGCAGGCCCGTTTTTAACTTCCAGCACATAGAGCGGCACTTAGGCACTGCTGACTCAGGCTTCACCATGCCCGTTCCTTCAAGAAGCAGTTTTCAATGGTTTAGAGCACGTGAATCCTTGCTGTTTGCAAAGCACTGTCTGTATTTTATTATAATTTTAGATTAATTAGGGCACATTTATGAACATGAAGAATTCAGGCTCACCCAGCTTCCATTGTCCCCAAAAGCCTCTGTGTTTTGCCTTCAAGACAGCAAATCCTCCTCATTGTCCTCAGGCTTGTGAAACAAACCATCAACTGGAGAGGTGAGAGCAAGGCCTGGAGAAGTGAGAGCAAGGCCTGGGCGCATTCAGAAAGTTCCCCTGTGCCAGAAGGGCCCGGGGAAGTACCAGAGCTCAGGCCGAGTCTGCCCCCGGCCTGGTAAACATGAGCTAACTGCCACACTTCATTCTCCCTGTTGGCGAGCCGGCTTTCCACCTGCAAGCTCTGCAGGCAGCAGCACTCCTGGGGGAATAGCCCAGGCCTGCTTTCCAGCCTGTGGGTGTGGAGTGCATGTGCGGGTTGTGTAACCTCTTTAGTCTGGTCCAGCTGCACAGTCGTGAGGGTAGATGGTGGAGAAGTCACAGTGGAACCCCCTAAGCAATTGGTGGACATTGCTGTGGGCCAGACCAGGGGGAGGAGGGCCTTTTGTGTCAGAGCTGAGATGCTTGCCCATCCCCACTGGGACTGACCAGGTGTCAGTTCTGTTTGTTCGCATTTGGTGTCTTATGGAAAACGGAAGCTCTGCTCAAGGACACGGGAGGGGGCTGCCATGTGCTGAATGAGCTTGGAAAGCTGGGTCCTCAGATTAATGTGCAGGGCCTCATATCAATGTAAGGAATTTGGGTTTTATTTGAAAAAGCAACAGGGGGAACCACTGGAAGGGTTGTTGTTTTTTCATAAGCCTATTTTAATTTTTTAAGTTTTCACAATTTAAATAAAATTCAGCTAGTTAACATAAACACAGAGGAAATGCACGTAATTTACAGCCATGTACAGAATACACTAGCAACCCTCATATAAATGGTCAAAAGATATCAATTCTTGAAGTTAATTCGCAGCTATGACTTTGAAAGGTCAAGATTTAACTGTTCACATATACAGGAGTACACATTCAAAATGCTTAATAACACAAAAACTGAGTGAAACTACAATTTTCAGTTTCTAAAAGGAGTAGCAAAAAAAGTAGTATATAGCTTAATGAGAAATATAAGGGCATGACAGAGAAGAGATCTGAGTAGGCAGAAAGTACATTATATGTTTTAATATAATTAAAATTCCTTCCAATTTAACTCATTCAGAACTATGTTCTTAGGAATGTTGAAGTCATGATCAATTTTAGAGGAAAAAGCTAAACTATTGTATTTATCAGCCCCAAAAGGGCCCCTAAATATAGTACTAACAGTCTGGGCAGAAGAGCATGTAAACAACCAAAGACAGGCATGAACAACACCGGGAGAGTAAAGGATAGATTGATTTCTAGTATTCAAATCCTTCAAGTTCAAATTAATATTTTTAGTGGTTTAGCACAAATCTAAAAATACTGACATGTTTATGCTGCAATAAGAGTAAACACTCATTATTTTTAACCCAAACTCTTAGTCCTAATATACTAATGCTTTTCTACAATGGGCATTAGGTTTTAGGAGACAAAAGGCTGGATTAAATGATCTAATAATATTCTATTCTTGGCTTCGAAGTTACAAGTCAGTTACTTGTGGGCTTCATCCTTAAAGGCTGGCTCCACAGTTACATACATAATAAAAATTAAGACAAGGCTTTGGTGATAGTTTTTTCCCCTGGATTTAAAAGCACTATGGGACCCCACAATCACAGGGTTTGGTAATTCTCAGATTTGGACTTTGAAATTTAGGGGACTATTATGAGTTCCACAAGTACCAGAGTTCTTTCTGCTGCTCTATGAGAGTATGCTGTTTCAGTATCTACTGCTTTAACCTGAGTAAGCTCAGTTTAATTTTGAGAAGATTCTACAATAAAAGTACCTACTCATCTGAAGAGTGCCGACTACCTCCAATTTAGAAATAAAATGTTATCTGATAGAAAATAGATGAAAACAAAACACCATTTTTAAAAAAGTTCAATGCTTTAAGTCTGCATCTTTCTTTTTAAACATTTGCCTCAATTAAAAACAAGATTTATAAAGAAATGTTTCAGAGGCAAATTTTATAAATAATCTGTAGTGTGCCCCCCCCCCCCAATTATCTCTGTCAGACATAAAGCACACTACAGCAGACTGTGCTTTGTGGGGGAAAGAATTAAAACAAATGACATTGCTCCTTTCCAGTTGTTGCACAAGGAAACGGCCTAAGACTAAGATCTTTTCCTTCCAGTACATAGGTAAAACTCACTTTTAAAAGCTAAATATAATGCTCTAAAGGTCAACGCAAGTTTTACTTGCTAAATACAAACAGGAATATCACTGGAAGGTTTTCAGAGGTAAATGATATAATATTACTAATCCACAAAGCGCCTGTGGAGGAAGGAGGCGGTTGTAGTGGCCAGGATTGGTGACAATGGAAACAGAAAGAAAGAGATGGGAGGTGCGTTTTAGAGGCTTAAAAGCAAAATTTGTCCATGAATGGGAAGTGCAGGATGAGAGAAAGGGAAGAACAAGGAGGATCCCTAGAATTTTTACTTAAATAACTGGGTGGTTCTGATGTGGGGAGGGTTTAGAAACTAGTTTGGGGGGAAACCAGGGTTTCCATGTTGGACATAGAAGTTTGAGAAACCTATTAGCTATCCAAGGGCAGATGTCATGTAGGCAGTTAGATATGGATGGTGATGTGGAGGTTTGAGGGCTGGTTGGACATGCTAATTGGGGGCAATCAGCATGTAAATGGTACCCCAACACTTAGAAGTTAGCAGCAGGAGAGGGATCCTGGAGAGTAGACTGTGGTCAAAGAGAAACTCATGATAAGTTAGCCATTTCCTCTTCTGTGCGATTCTTAGGAACTGACGTTTGTGTGGGGCTGGCTTGGGGAGACAAAAGCAGGAGAAACCAGACGTCGGGGCAGATAGGAAGGGCAAGGGTTGACCCTGATGAGCCTGTATTTCCTGATGGGAAGTTTGGATTTAAGTTTGAGGCCGTGAAGCCATTGGTGGACTTTGAGCAGCAGCCTGGCATGGCACTGTTACTGAGAATGGTTCACAAGGCATTGGCAGAGAAGCGGTATGGCAGAAGGAATTCTACAAGCTGAGTGACTGCTATGCAGTGATAGGTTATTAAATGTGAAATGTCTCCACATAACTGTTTCTGGCAGCCCACAAATCCGCATTATTCTGCTACGCACAGTGGTCTGTGTTTGGGGGTGGGATGCACATCAGGGAGCTGAAGGATGAGAAGTCAACACCAGCAGATAAGAGATAGCTGGGGAAGGCGTTGGACTGTCCCTAGGATGTGAGATGGGAGATTGAGCCATTCTTATCTAAGGGGCAGGGTGACATCAGGTCTGCGGATGAAAACAGTCCGTTGACCTTGAAGGTCATTGAGCAAGCGGGGAGAAGAACTTCAGACTAGTGGTAGAAGCACTTCTCAGTGGGCTGAAAAGAAAAAGTGAGGAATAGAAGGCAGAGTATGAACTACCTACCCTTTTGGGAGGAAAGTTGTCAGTGTCTGAGTAAGCAAAGTGCTTGGTCTCTGATCATTCACTTCTGTCTTGAAAGGACTGAGTGATCCTTGCATTCCCAGAGTTGTGGGCTTTTTTTTTTCTTCTTAAAGATATATTTGAAATCTCTTACTGTCAAGAAATAAGTTGATCTGGCTGCTTAATGCAGGAACCTCCTCCATTTGAAAATATAGACAATGGATATCTCTGCTGTGTGATTAAGACTTTGCTAACCTCATTAGGTTGAGCACGTTGGACATTGAAAGGAGGGTTGGTTGGGCTGTATTAGGATCTTGTATTCGTGGCTCTAGACCACAAGAAGTTGTTTATAACTGTTCTTTCAGGACTTGGAGATATATATTATATTTCACATCAATACACTCCTTTATGATGATGGTTTGTGGGGAACAGGCTGACGTACCCTTAGAATCTTAACACACCCTAAGTGGTTGGTTTGAAATGCTAGCCTTCTGTTATCCCCTGGTGTTTAAATTAATGCACACTTGTAAAGTAAAGGGGCGGGGTGGGGGTAGGGGTGGAGGTGGAATCAGGGACTCAAACATTAGTGAGGAACAGAATAGAAAGTGAAAGTCCTATACAGTTAGTATGGAAGTGAGGGTGAGGATGGTCTGCTGAATAAGGAATTGGTGATAAAATTTGATTTTACGTTCTGATGTGACCATTTTATAGTGGCTGTGTCAGAACATCCTGTTTGCTTTGATGCCTTTTGGAACAGGGAGGCCCCATAGCCACAGAGCAGGGTGTGAGGGCAAGAGACCCTAAGCACTCTTTTGGGGTAAGTCTGGAGTTGGGGGCCAGCAGATGGGTCTGCTATTGGAATGAAGCTGCTCCCAGGGTGATCTTTATGTCATCTTACAGCCCTGCCCACCTCCTGGTCCTTCCTCGGGAGCCAGGGCTCACCATGGGACTGGGATCTTTGGGGTTGCCTCCAGGTGGCCAGCGCTAGGAGTGGGAAGGTGGGGAGTGACAGGCAGTGCATAGGCTGAAGGAACAGGCTAGAGGGCCAGCTGAGGGCTTTGGGGCACTGCCCAGTGGGGTCTCTGACCATGGGACACATAGGCAGCACCGGTGGGCTGAGAGCCACACTGAGGGGATGTGGGAGCACAGGTAGGACATGCTCTGTATAGTTTGCATTTGCTTCAGGCAAAGTGAACAGTGGTTAGTAAAGTCATAAGCTCCACAGGGGGAGCCCACCTGGTCTGTGCCATTGCCATCACCGCAGTTACAGGATTCAGGCACTGCCCCTTCCTCAGAGTCAGGGTCCCCTCTGACGCTGGGAAATCAGCAGCAAACCCTGCCACCTAGTGGCAAGGAGACAACAGGCACTAGACAAGTTTGGGTTGAAGAGATGCTCAACATGACCTCTTGTAATTGCAAAGATAACGATGAAAAAGGAGAAGAAAGCTACCATTTTTGAATGACAGCTATTTGTATTTAAAATCTGTTTATTAATTGAGAAACATGGATGAGAGAGAAACATCATTGATCGGCTGCCTCCTTCATGCCCCCTACCAGGCATCAAGCCCTGACCAGCGACCTCTTAGTGCATGGGTCATGTCATTGCTCAACCACTGAGCCACACTGGCCTGGTGTATGACAACTGTTTCTAATCCTCACAACAATCCATTGAGTGGTTCTTAGTGTTCCCACTTTATAGTAAGGAAAGTAAGGCTATAAATGACCCCCCCGAGGACATATAGTAAGGAAGAGATGAAATGAGGTGAGTTTTAAAACAATTTAGAATGATTTTAGAACAATTATAATGTTAGCCACCTGAGGTCTTGTTAAAACACAGGTGGCTAGGCCCCACCCCCAGAGTTTCTGACTTGGCAGGTTTGGGTGGGACCTGGTAACCTGCCCGTCTAACTGCCCGGTGGTGCTGATGCTGCCGCACGTCTTGCTTGTGGTAAGCACTATATAGAAATTTATTGGATAAAGTTGATCGATAAAGGCAGGGTCAGGACTCCAACCCAGGCCTGTCTGATTCTAACACCTGTTCTCTTTTGACAACATGCCGCCTCTCAGGTTTGACTTTTAAGGCTGAATAAATCGCTGTACTTTGCCCTTTGCTGAATTTTTGCTTTGCAACATAAGATGGCTGGTTGGTTGTAGTTTTCACAATCGTATCCAGCTTTGTGTGCTGGTGTATTCGTTAAAGGGCTGGTTATGCATGAAGACTTTCTCAGGTCGTGGACAACCCCACAGAATGTAAGACACGGGTCCTGCCCTGCAAGGATGTGCAGCTAGGCTGGGAAAGAGATATCTTGCAAGTATGACAAGGACCTCAGAAAAGTTACCAACTGTATAGTCACTAAGTCAGAGCAGAGCAAGAACCCCGAGGGCTGTGGCATTGCAGAGGCCTCTGTGGACGGACAGTGTCCTGGAGAATGAGTGAGTTAGGGTGCACAGGGCACTGGGAGCCCATGCAGGTGGGGGAGGGAAGAACAATATGAAAATGAGGAGAGCTGGGAAGGGAGCACCTGCTGGTGAAGTGCCTTCTATGCATCAGGCATGGAGCCTGCATTCTCTCATGGACCCTTCAGAGCAGTGGGCAAGCTGCCTAGGGTCACATCGCCAGTGGATGCCAGAGCTAGGACTCTAGAGCTAGGACTCAACCGCAGGTCAGACTGCCCTGCCTTTTCCACATGAGAAGTTGCCCAGGGGTGTAGGAGGCTGGGCGGGATTAGGGGGAAGCTCTCACTCACAGGCTCCAGTAATGACAGGGCCACATCCGAGGGGGCCCTCCTGGCCTGTTGGGCCCGAGACGCCTGGCCCTGGCTCGCCCCAGCTCAGTCCTGGTCCCAGTAGGAGGAGCAGTGAGAAGACAGCAGGACTGCAAAGTGGGTTGAGGTCAGACGCTGCAGAGCTATGAGGACCCGGCGAAGGGATTTAGATTTCATAAGCAGTGGGGAGCCATGGAAGTTTATGGAGCACGGCAGTGATTGGATCTGAACACTTGACTGCATACTGTGTGGAAACTAGTGAGGAAGGTCTCAAAGTTGTCTTGGGGGAGGGGGAGTTATTAATCAGTATCTGGACTAGGGTAATAGAAAAAGAAGGGAACCGATGTCAGCATGTCCATTAAGAACCTGCAGGACTTGGTGCGGCGATAGCAGACAAAGGCAGCATCTTGGGGAGCTGGAAA